GCATGTTAAAACTATTTTTTTTGCAGAACGTGTCGGCGCAAAACTCCGACATCTCGATATATTTTAAATTTTATTTTAAATTTATCGCGCTTACATTAATGCGCTTAATAATCACGAAAATATCTAAGCGTCTGCTTAGTCGGTCGTCTGGACTGCGATAACACGCACTTGCCGGAGTTTCGAGACATAAAAAGACACAATTACCTAGCTGACATGGCGAGGATAAATCTCAGACACGTCACCCACGGTCCTTGCCGTCACTTGACAGTGGTCTCCTTTTGACAATTATATTGCAAATTATTTACGAGCGGCCGACCGCGTCTTTCGTCACATTGTGGCTGGTCGCAGCGTTCTGGCACGTAACATAATTCTCCCATCGGAATGGGAAAGCCAAGCTTATTTTACACCAGCGAGGCGTCGTCGCTCGTGCTCGTAGAAGAAACTAGAATAACGCAGCCTTTTCTTTCATCCAATTGATCTCTCGACAAGTCGACACGTCGCTCGACAATCGCAAACCTGAATCGATACGAAGAACGGAAACGACCTGAAGATAAGATCCCGGAGTATTACGGTATTATTAGCCCTACTTGTCACATCAGAGTCATTAACACGGAAATAAGTTTGCGACAAACCGCGTTCGAGGATTAAGTAAACGCCTCGGCTGAGAGATAATGTCGCTGTCGAGACGACTCGAAAAGGTCCTTTTGCCATTACCCACGTTGTGCGCCACGTTATTTTTCTTACTGAAACGTAAACTGAAACGTCGGCCCTACCAGGAAAGCGTGTCATCGTAGATGCTCGTCGGAATCACGTTTGATCGCACACGAGGCAGACAATGTCTCCTGAAGCGTACGAGCGTTTGACGCACTGCCAAGAATCCGTGGTTGTTGTTTTTCGTGTAAACTACGTTGCATTCCTCGTGCGCAGCGCTGTCGCATAACTTTCAGATTTTCTATCAACCTGCAAATTCTCTCGTGATGAGATTGAATTAAATTTCTGTCTAGCGAAAACTCGATAAGAAAATTGCCATTCACCGATATAATTGGCGAGCATCGCTTGTTTGTTGAAATTGCATAACTTGTTCCGGTAAAATTGGCATCAATCGGATTTTTCTGATAATTCTTTCATTCTTTTTAATACTATTTAATAATCGCGATTGGCTGGCTCAGAGATCGGCAAAAGGGACCGATCGTTGTAAAGGTGCAGGGGAATGAGAGGAAAATTACATGAACGTTTTAGTTCCACGATGACATGAGGGAGCACTCGTGGTCATCGGTAAAAGCAATTTTCGCTACGCGCTCCAACTCTTTGCACTGCATGTTGCACGTCTTCTCTTTGTGGACATCTACAAAAGCGTGGCACACGCTTAGCCTGAGACTTTATCTTCCGAAAAAAAATCCGATTTTAGTAATTAGCCTACTTGTCACCCCATTACGGACTGTCCTCCGGTCCGTGAAATCAATCTTGAAACTGCTTTCGAAAAAACGATATCGAGGATTGCAGTTGATAAACACATATGTGATTAACTAGAAATTTCTACGAGCTAATATACATAAAAAAAAATAGATATTATAGGGGAGAGGGGGGGGAAGATTTCAGAGAACTTATCTCTGAAAACTTTATTTTATGGATCGAGAGTGAAAGTAAAGTTTCCCGTAAAATAGCACGTAATTCGATTCGTGTATCAGTTATGTAATTCGCGAGATTATCGCGAAACGGAATTTCTGTGGAAAAATTGCTCCGCGGAGCGCTGGTTTTTTACGGGACAAGTGTCAAAGTTTATTTAGTCTGCACGCGGTCTTATCCTCGTTCTAGGAAACATGTCACCTGTGTGTTCCACGAACAGTTTCTGCTTGTAATTAATTATCGTGCACGGAGGTGCAATACCGCTCGTCGTAGCACGAGTAATTAATGTCCGCCGTCCCGGTAATTAATTGCGTCTAGCTAGACGCCGATGTCCCTTTCGTTGCGCGAATCTTTTCGCTGGCGACTGGTACTTTTGCCAAGTTTTACAATTGTTAACGCTTTCTGGGTATTGGCGCGATGGGACGCAAGTCGAACTAAATTCTAAAGGCTCTAAAGGCGAGATCTTATCCGATCGAATTGAGATCTGTTTCGATGAATCATTAGGATATCTTTCCATATTGGTGGAGTTCTGTGAGCGATAAAATTGGATTGTGGAAAGGAATTCCGACATTAGAAAGCTGAGAAGTAAGCGACTAGTCTGCACATGCGCGTATGTGGGTTTGTGATAAAGTGCGACATGAAAATTATTGCATGTTCCCGCACGTTCGCACTCGATACTCGGCCACCTAAAACCCCACGTGAAGTTTGATCTCTCGTCCGATGCACCTTCCCTGAGTCT